TATGTGACAGGTTGTTATCACCGCAAGATACGATATCGTTGTAGACCTTGCTGTGGACTTGATAGCGGTTGCCTATTTGTCAATCGGTATTAAATCATTTAAGTAATTTATAAAAAGAATCCAACCTTAAATAATAATTTTATTTCAATTCCGGTGTGTCGCTTCTATCGTAACTTTCTCTACATAATTTTTTCCTTGGATAGTACTACGGGCACTTTCAAAGAAACTAAATTATAAAAACAGCATTCTTCATGAAAATCTTGCTAACAAAACGCTATGCAGAAAATGCTTGGGTCAGATTTGATATTCCAAACATGGAACGTCGATTACAGTGAAGAGTGAGCGATTTTACTTATTTAAAACTGCATTATGAGAAGCAACGCAAACGCCATTCTGTCACTATGAAGATACTACTTCGATAAAAACCGCATATCTGCTACAGTTACCGGTATTTTAAACCCAACAGCAAAAAACAAGTATAAAGTAAAAACTAATGAAGAAACAACAGCACCGGTAACAGCTTATCAGTACTCTTAATTGTACTAGGGGAAGTTGTCTTTACCATTAAATCCGAAGAAAATAAGCATGTTGTTACAGCAAATGATCGTATCTGCCACACCTGGCCGCCAGTAAACCCAATACTGCCACTTTGCAGAAAGTCAGTTGTCCTAAATTCACTTAAGTTCACCGCGAACCTTTCGACGGTCTTCAATTTCTTTCAGCGTTATTTTCCTACACGTATCAAACAGTTCTTTTTTTTCATCCCGGATTTTCAACATATCGTCTAAAAATACGCATTACCATCATAGTGCAGTTTTTCGTTCAGCTACAACAATCGTGAATCACTTTGAATTCTTTCGCTCATATCTCCAAATCCGTAATGTGCAAAGTACGCAGCCGCAAACAGAAGTCCGATAACTGGAGCGAACAAGGCAGTGCTTTTAATGCGATTATACCTAAAACGGAAAAGACAGTAAGTAGGATAACTGAGCATAGTACTAATAACTGTTAGTACATTTGCATCTTCTTCAGTATTCAATAAGTAAAGTGATTGACATATAGCCTATCAGAGATGGAGCAGATTGCAAAGTAATCTTCTATCTGTCACAGTCGCACCGACTGCGGGTAACAAGGAAACCAATAATGTAATATGGCCAACGTCTGAAAAAACATCCATCGATTTTCAGTGTTTTTTTCTGGTGGCGGGATAGCTGCCTCAGGAGGTATTTATAATGGTCTCTATCAGCTGTGAACCGAGCAAGCTCCACGGTTTGAATTCCAATGTGGAACAATTTTTAAACAAAACTTGTTACATTATTTTTTATTCATTTAACGGTTAGACCTTGGCTATCATGAGTCCGTCATTTATCGGCCTACTGCACCGAAGCAGAATGCAAAATTCCTTGTTCAACAATGCTCAAAGAGAAAACACTTTTAATATGAAAATAAAATGTTTACGCCGCCCGTGCGGCTGGAATCTCATTTTCGAAGTTCACTGTTTCTTTCTGGTGGTGGAACAGCTGCTTCAGAAGGTATTTATAATGATCTCGATCAGCTGCAAACCGAGCAAGATTTTGATGCGGAACAATTTAAAAAAAGACTCGTTGCACTGTTTATTCATTTAACGGTAAGACCTTGTGCTAATTATGAGTCAGTCATAAGGTGAGTGAATTGCAGCTGTACGCTACCCCAGAGCACCATGCTCTTATTAGTTTGCAAACAGCGACTCGCCACCCATTTATCGGCCTACTGCACTGAAGCTGAGTTTGCAAAATTCCGTGTTCAACGATGTTCAAAGAGAAAACATGAAAATAAAAATTTTACGCCGTCCATGGGGCTTGAACCCAGTTGTTACGTAAAAAAATTAAATACTACAACTCGCTACCACCCCATCCGCCGACTTCTAAAACTGCTTGCACAAGACGGAGAACGATGTAGGAACTTGCATGACGCTACACCCTGCACGAATCCAAAGGATAAGCGGTGATCGAAAATGACTAACTGAAAAAGTTATTAAATTATTATTCTAAGTATACTATTAAGATTCGATACTTTCTCTTGTGTACATTTTCTCAAATTGGAGTCAGTGAATGTGCAGTGAGTGACTACGCGATAAGATATGC